CGCATGTGTGTGGTGCATACTTTGAAAGTCTACCACACCGAGCAATGCACAAGCACTCATTCATTCGTTCATTCATTCATTCATTCATTCATTCATTCATTTCACTCATTCCATTCGAATGCATTACGTTAGAAGCGATGACGATTTGAGATCACGATCAACAATTTGATCGAATATTTAAGTTACAGTAAACTTTGGTTGCACTAGCATTACTTAACTCAAAAGTACTACTATCACTGTTACTACTGCCACTGTTACAACAATTACTGCCACATAATCAGACCCAGTTACTAAACAACGTTATACAACGTAATTATGTTAGCAGTAGGTGAACCATATACAATAATTTTATTACTTTTAAGGGAAAACATTTGCTATTATGACTGAAGCAAGTGTAAAATAAGCTAAAATCATACAATTATTTATCGTTTTTACGTCAGTCGATTAGTCAATTAAGCCTTAGGACCTCTCTTGAAATACTATTGTTAATTACGTTAACTAATAAAACAAATGAAACGAAACAAGCAAAGCGTGTGACTATGCCTTTCAAACAAACTCTAATACTTTGCGATTGCATCGGTCATTCATTGTTGAAATGATTTATTATGGAGCGCAAAGGAAAACGACGAAATTCCTTTGAAATTATGTCCGACCTAAATTAGATCAATAATGGTTCACCGACCAAAGTCATAACTGTATTGAAAATCATGATTTCCGTTAAAAAACAGGGAATCACTTCCTTTGGAGGTTATGCTCGATCTATTGCAAATAACATCATTAAATGTTCATCAACGAAAGTCAGAGCGTTATGGAGGAATGCCATAATTTCCGCCAAGAAAATCATATCAATTACTTTGAGGTTATGTTCGATCTATTACAAATGAGATCAATAAAGGTTCACCAACCAATATTGAAAAACATGATTTCCGCCAAGAAAATCATATCAATTATTTTGAGGTTATATACGATCCATTATAAATAAAATCGATCGAATTTGATCGATATGACGAAGTAAGAGGAATCCTATGCAAATTTCACTGAAATGTTCTTTCGTTAGCGACACTCTTTCAATTCGATTCTTTTTACTTTCTCTAAATGCCAATGCAAAGCTTGGCTTTCATTCGACGGCAAGCCGTCACTTTAAGGATTAAGTTTGAAACATAACATGGATTATGCATAGATCAAAAAGACTAAATGTAGCATCGACGTTTGAAACGGATTTAAGGCACATTTAGCTAAGAAAAAAGTTGAGATCGAGGATGCAGGACCCAAGAAGAAAACATTGAATAGCATTGAATAAGATAATTATCGAATAAGTTGGGCGAGTACGGTTGATGTGGATCGTAACCATGTAAGCTTGATCTCGAATGTGTCTGTTTCGAGTGAATTAACTTTTGACTTTAATTGATTAACTTAACTACTCAGTGCGAGATGTACTTCTTTACGACCATAGCGTATTAATAACATTAAGTATAATTTTTACTTGTTTATTAAAATACTATTAAGCTTTTTTTTTATATTTAAGTAGCAAATATTATCTGTTCGTGGCCTTAAGGGCATATAAAGAAGATATAAAATATCGTGTTCATTATGTTTTGTAATCATTAGTCAAAAGGTGATGCGCATTGCTTCAAGCAATTTATTTAACTCTTTTTTTTCTTGAGTTTTATATAATATATGGCATTAATATATTTCACAAATATGAAACTATTTCCAATCACCATATATTGAGTGTTTAATAAAACACTTAGAATGCATTCTCTTCAAACTTTCAAATTTATTTATTTAATTGATTATACAAACAAATTAATATCAATAAGCTAGTATTTACCTATTTGTTTGGGGATCCAAGTGCAAGCGCAAGAAAGATGTAATTCCAGCGAGAAAGTGGAAAATTGAGAACAAATATTTGTGATAGCAACGAATTCAGAGAAGACATCAACAATTCTATACCGAAATATACATTTCAGAAGCTTGTCGCAATTGTCAACCGGCAATAGATAATCCGGACAGGAAATTTTGCACGCGTGTTAAAGAAAAAAAAAATATTATTTTTTAACTATTGTTAAGTACTTTGTTTTAGCGAATCCATTTTGTAATATTTGTAGAATCTAAAAAATTCGGATATTATTTGTTATTTTTATTTATTTATTTTTTTTGTCCTTAAATGAATCCATCACTCTGGGGATTTCCCCTATGTGTACAAAACGGCGACGATCACAGGCGAAGTGAGGAAAAGTAAACGGATAGGATGGTTACAGATGGCCATAGTGTGCAGTGGGTGACTGTTCGGTCGGTAAGTGTTATGCGTTTATCGACTGAGGTATCGTCACTATACTTACGACCCATAAACTCCACCGCACTTGAGACTTGAACGATCAGGAACACTGACTTAGTATTGACGATTCTTACTTACTGGTCTACTCGTGAGAATAATGTGGTTTATGTATTCAAATATTGTAAAATATTGTAAAATATTTTATAGTCAGGTGGGGTCAACGCTTAAATACCCTACTTTACTTTGTCTAGAAAAAGTTTTCGTTTCTTTTTGGCTTTATTGGTTTTTATGGTGAAGCGATATTGTAGACCCCGATTGTATAATCTAATCCTATTTGAAGGTTGGTTATGAGCGGCGTTCAAAAAAAAAAAAAGAAGAAAGCATGGAAATTCGGACTGCCATTAATTCTCCTTCAGCAATCGATTCAGAATCACTTTCAAAATCGCCTCGCCTGTCTGCCTGCCTGCCAATCTTGTTGCCTTATGTTCCAACAAAATTCGTTATCTTGACGCGTTTTCGGTCAAATTGTCGACCACTCCCCATACAACATCTTACTTTGAAAATTCGCTATATGAATAACTGTAGAGTGGTGAAGGATATTTAATAGTGGGCGGGAAACCACTACATATGAATTTATTTATACCTTATATAGCTTTGGCATCGTGTTGTTAGAAAGAAGATCTTGAATATCTCATGACACTAAAATTATTATTAGCATACTGCGATAAAGGTTTGATTATAGTAGCACTCAAGATGACTAATCTTGCTGAAAGCCAGGCAAAATTTTCTAATGAATTCATATTTTACACTTAACGTGAATTTATTTCTCACGTTTTTTGTTTTCATTCAAGGAAATTTGATTTCGTTGCAAATATCAAGCATCGAGCTTCCTTAGTCAATTCTGTTTTTTCAGCCCTTGGTAGAAAGTTTAAAATATAAATAATTATTCTGCATCTTTCTAATTTATTTCTTTTTAAAGTAAATGCTTTGCTTAAAAAACAACACACTTCACTTCGCATGTAAACAGTGATAATTCTGTTTATATAAGAATAATCTAGTGTGTGATAAGGATAATTTAGTAAGCAATTATAATCCTGTTTCGAATAAGATAAGAATAATTTAGTGTAAAAATAGTGCCTAAGAAAATAAAGAAAAGCAGTTCTCAGCATCAAGCAACTCAACCAAACGTTTTACTCGCTAATAGCACTAGGCATTCAAACTGCCTGAACCATTAAGATTAGTGACCGGCTTATGCCGAGACACTTTGGCATTATAAAAGACGGATAGACTTGGCGTACTGCAGCCGAGCAGCTTAGGGCTTAAAACAGATAATCTAAACACATCATACAATATCAAACTTTATTACAATACATGTTGTATCTGTTCATATATATATACATATATACGTATGTGTATGCGTATCTATGTGTATGTGTATGTATGCATGTATGTATGTATATACGGGCATGTGTGTGTATGGATGTATGCGTGTGTATGTGTGTGTGTGTGTTTATATAGATAAATTTGTGTATATATACGTCTATATATTATGTATATATATACATCTGTATATGTAGTATATACGTATATCTATATACATGTATGTATATATATATATTAGAGCTTGTTACACAAGTTTTATTGCTTTATTTCAAAAGTGATACGAAAACTATTTTATTGCTAATGATTTCAATTAATGCCATGTTGTAGTTTTTGTTTCTTTTTTTTTCCATCTTTTTTTTTTTTTTTGTATCTTAAATAGATGTGTTTTCACATTAAATACACAAAATGACCCTGTCCCCCATGACTGCTGTAAACATAAACGTTGTTTACCGCAACTTAATCTTAAGTGGATCATTGGCTTTTCTCTCTCTTTTTTTTTCCTCTCTCTATCGAATTGAATAAAAGTACAAGTGTGAACTTTTTTCTGTCTATAGTTATTAGGACGTATTTTTCTTATTATGAATTGAAAAAAAAAAAAAAAACAAAATAAATAAATAAAAAAAATAAAATTAAATTGCTCGTACATGTAATGGAAGGACAGTGCATATAAATTCAATGATTTCTACCTGTTACGTTAATATTTTCCAGCGAAACATTCAATGCATTTAGTATGCATAGATTTTTACATTTTCTGACGGTTGTTATTGTTTGTTATTCTACGCTTGTGCTTGTGCTTGTGCATGTGCATGTGCATGTTTATTATGCGGTTTGCCTCTCTCTTAAGGCCTTGATATATATTGTTAAAATACAATGTTTGTTTATTTATATATTGGATTTTTTATTGTTATTTTTATTTATTTTGTTTTGTTGCCTTAAGTCATATGCACTTAGGAGGGGGATTAGAAAATCAGATTTCCAATATGTTTCGGCGAATTTTTACTCGTCATAATTTAAATTTATTCTTCATATTTTCCAACTTAGCCATGGTGAATATCTATTCTGCACGTATCGAATTTTCTTGCTGAGCACGCGTACCGTTTAATCAATTTTAAGCAACAACTATTTCAATTTAAACGTTTAATAGGCAAACATCAAGTATTTAAGTGAAGCATATATGAAGCGAAAAAATAATAGGTGTGCCAATAAATTCACTGTATTGAAATTGTGTGCTTTATAAAGCATATCGAACGCACTGGCACCATTCGCTATTTAGAGTGTACCGAGTTTAGATATTAGTTCTTTTGCACGATTTAAGATTGAGATATTTACAAGCTGTCATTCAGTGTGTGTGTGTGTGTGTGTGTTAGGGTGTAACGACGTGGGTGTCAATAAACAACATTTAATACGCTGTTTACTACTGTTAAGTTGCCTTGAGGTGAAAATGCAATAAGTTGCAAAGCAGTTAGAAAGTAGTTTGTAAGAGTTTCTGCAAAAAAAATTTCAATGTAGTAGACAAGCGCTCATCGTTCTAGGGACCGGCGAAAAGTGTTGCATGAGCAAATCCAAGTTTTAATAGAATAGAAAATCCAGCTTACATTCAAAAAAACCACAAGTTAGTGATAGTGAGGAAATCTGGTAAATAAAACGATCAAAGTGAAATTGTTTGTCGATTTATTTTCCAGGATGCACCACCTTCTGGTTATCACTTGTTCAGCAATTAGCAAAAGCTGAAAATGGGCGAAAATGGTTTGATCGCTACTTTGCACCGAAGGTACGAAATTTTTATCGCAGCTGTTATAGTGAAAATTCAGAATCACTTTTTAAATTAATTCTTTGACCGCAGCTAGAGTGAGCGCCCAGTCGGTAAAGGCATAACACTTATCCATTGGTGACTGCCGTCAATTTCTTCCTATTTCTTTCTATTTCTTCTCGCCTTTCTGACAGGCACCGTGTTGCACGAAGAGAAAGCATTCCCTTAATGATTGCTCGTATTAAAAATATATATATATATATATATATATATCGATCTAAGCTTGTCTGTCTGTCTGTTCACCTTGGTTTCTTGTATTCAACTCAGATGCCTCAAATTTTGAGATGTTTAGTATCTTGACATGTTTTGGTTCAAAGACGAACGTTATTGAAAGTGATTCGGATCGGCCCACTTCTTTGACCACACCCTACATAATTCCTTAATTTTAAATGTTGCTAAATGAATATCTGTATTAAGCGCACTGGTGTAGGGTATGGATAATGGCGCGTCCTATTCCACTATAATTTTTTTTTAGTTTTATGTGTTTGTGGTAATGCCTTTGCCATCTATAAAAAGTTTCATGTCAATATAATTCTCAATAGCAACATAGAAAGCTGAGCTTCTCGATTTTCGCTGTCTCTGATTTCGTCGAACAAAAGATTTGCATTAAATTTTCTATATAGAATGAATATTTCATAAAAACGTTACAGACGGGTTGCGGGACTGAGGCTAGGTCGCAAAAAAATGATTACAACTGTTATCGAAATTTCAAAGAAATCTGATCTTAGGGCGAACAGCACCTTGGACAACCAATAACAGCTACAGATGATAATCACATCAAGACAACCAAAGATTTGATTTTAGGATATCGTCGACCGATACTTAGGGATATTTTGAAGGGGCGAGAATTTCACGCGAATCAATTCAAACGACCTTAGAAGACTATTTGAGCCTCAAACTGGTCAAATTTAGATTGATTTCAAAAAGATCTACTGATCGTTCAGGCATCAGCGTCACCACTTGATTTAGCACTCGGCGACTTCTGTCTGTTGAAGAAATTTAAAAGACCGCATCGGGGTTAGACCGTAGACAGTTTCGACTTGATTGCGAAAATAAAAGCGAGATAGAAGGTCGTCTCGTAAAAGGATTTCTCCGACTGTTTTCAGAATTGGCATAAGTGCGCTGCATCAGGTGAGTAGTGCTTAAAAGGCTACGAAGTTGTTTTATATTGTAGGCATACGTTTATAGATATCAATGAATCGTTCCCGCCTCCATACTCTATGTGAATGAAAAGAAAACAAATTCGTGGACACATCCTCCTGTCATTCTGAAATATCGTGTTTCGCGAAAGGTGCGTTTAAAGTCTTAAGTACTCGCAATATAATTATGTTTTTATTTTCATTTTTGAATAGTTAAGCGATTGTTCAATGATTAAAAACATATTGAATTTTTGAAGAACGTAAGCGTCAGCTTTCTATATCAATTTTTGTAAGTTTGAAGGACTCTCCCGGACAACGGGATCGCAAACGGGCCAAAAGGGACTGCTAAGACGACTTAAATTTTGAGGAACATTGGGCCACAGCTAATGTGCAATCAAATCAAGCAAAATGCAACCATCGTGTATTTTATAAATAAAAAATATATAAAATTTTTATTAATATATCATTTTTGTTTTGATTTCTTTTTTGTTGTTGTTCTTGTTGTTGCTTTTTTTTTCTTTTTTTTTTTTTTTTTTGACACATAAAACTAGTTTCAGCGACATTTATATTTGATTTCATCATATATGCAAACAAACAAGCAAACAATAGACATAAACTTAAAAGCTACATAAATATCAATGTATAAGAAAATCTAACACAAATCTAAACACTTTATCTACGGTACTATTAGTTAATGATTTGATTGTGAGAGATGCTGGCACATTATCAATATTTTCCGTGTCGTAATTTATCAAATACCATTCAGCCAAAAAATATAATACTAAAGTGGTGATGGCAAATTTTAAATAAATTTTCAAAATGTCAAAGATAATCCCAAACAATATTTTCATATATATTAACATGATGATCGATATGATGTTCCTTAAAATTCTTAGCTCGATAATGATTTACTTTTGCAGATAGCATTCCTGGATAGGCATCAAACAATTCCTTACTTAATGACTTTTTAACTTGACGAACTGCAGCGTATATCTGGAAAAGAAAGAAAAACAAATTTTTTATTCTTTTATTTATTCTTTAAATATAATGCATTATAATACATAAAAAGATTGATTCATTTGTTAATCAATACAATCCGTTATATAAATAGGAATTTATTTGACTTGAGTAGGGGTTGAGGTTGTAGCAATACTTGGCTGACATATCGATCAATAATTTCCGAGACAACCGTAGGGTAATTGAATAGAAATTGACATTATGTCAATACTTGATTGACACATCGATCAATAATTTTCGAGATAACCGTAGAATAACTGAGTAGAGCTTGAGGTCACAACAATACTTGATTAACACATCGATCAATAATTCCCGAGATAATTGTAGAGTAGCTGATAGTAGAGATTGACATTATGTCAATACTTGATTGACATCATCGATCAATAATTTTCGAGATAACCTGTAGAATAATTGAATAGAGCTTGAAGTCATAACAATACTTGATTAACATATCGAGCATTAATCACGGTGTCCGCTATATTCATTTTAAAGTGAACTCATTTTCAGGCAGATAATATATCCTCATTTGAGGAGTTAGCAAAATAGTTTTAAACGTTCCGTTTTATTCGCCTTACGATAAGTAAGCATAAAGCCTAAAAAAAACTGAAAAAAAAAAATGTAATTACTCGTAATTTTTTGTGGGCATGGTCGATTGGTTCCATTTTTTGATCTAAAGAATAGTTATAGTAAATGTAGAAAAGCTTTCCCTTCTAACTTTAATAACATCTTAGTAACGAGGAAAAATTCGAAAATTTTTGTTAAAAGAAACTGAGTTGTGTTTAGTTTACGTTCCACTGCGGGGTTCTGCTTTGACTAATTCGGCCTATTTTCAACACCAAGCTGCGTGCAGAAATTTGCAAGGTTTCTACCACATCTGAAGCCGATAGCTTCATTTTTGCGAGCAGGAGAGTGCCAACAACAAGCATCACATAGATAGACAGACGGACAGACATAAATAAATCAACTCAGAATTTCACACTGATCAAGAATATATATACTTTATAGGGTTTATAAAGTTTCCTTTTGGGTGTTACACACATTATGGGGAAAAGCAAAACGAGTATACGCCCATCTTACAGCGTTGGGTATAAAAATAATGGAGTTCTTTTTGCCCACCTCCGGGAATTATTGCGGTATGTATTATTATTTTTTTGTTATTGTTATAGATACTAATTACCATTACATAATTATTTTGAATGTTACGTGTCGTACAATTGTTAAAATAACCCTGGAATATATTGAAGGTGCAATGAGCCTCTTAGGCCTTGGTTAACATTATCTATACCTAGCAAAATTATTTGCGATAGAAAGAGTTAACGCATTGCAAGTGATGAGTACAGCGATTACTTCCATTTATTTGCCAATTAGTCTTTATAGTCCGGTAGGCAAATTTTTTTACAAAAAAAAAAAAAAAAAAAAAAATTGTTAATAATGAGGACTTAATTCACATATCTCAATACGGTTTTAGATCATAGTTGTCAGTATGTCCGTGTGTCCGTCACTCAGCAATCAATATAATGAAGTCCAATATAATATATGAAAACACATTCCACTGGGAGTCTACTTATTGTTGGCGAGAAAGCCTGTGATTCTGTCTGGCGCATAATCGTTTCTTATGCAAACCCATCATGATTCTAACACTGAATACAACGAACCGGAATCACAAACATAAGGCCGTCAAAAATTTGGAAACATTAACCCGTTCGTTGCGTGTTATCCCGTTTTTAGTGATTACGTTAATACGTTAAACTAAAATACTTGCGGAAAAGGGTATATGTGTGCATGTATGCAACACCCAGAAGAATCCATCTGCTGCTATTCCGATCTAAGCTTGTCTCTCCATCTGTCCGTTTGCTTTTCATGTCTATAACGTACAAGCCGCAATTTTTGAGATTTGAGTGTCATGGCTCAAGGGCAAACTCTATTGAACGCAGTTCGGATCGGACCAGTATTTTGATCACCTTATTGTGAAAAGTCTTTATACCATACCGTTGCGAACATATTTAATGGTGGACCGTGGCCCACTATGGGTGGTTTTACTTGTTTCAATTAAGATATTAAAATTAATTGATGTAATGATGTTACTTCAGACATGGAAAAATAACGGTACACGTGGGGACGAAAAACATGCTTTTCTTGCAATGGTTCAAATTTATGAAATATATTAGCATATATTGAAAACCGGTACACATTCTTAGGCTTATTCATAAGCAAATTGGAAAGGGGGATTGTATTAATTTAAATCCACATGAATAGCGATGAAGCAATTACTGGCGGACAGCACCCACAATAACTGATGCAATTGAATTGAAATTGCGAGGTGAAAAGGTATAATCACATAATTACGAGCTTCGCATTCGGTTCCGTCCGCTATATTCCACTGATATATGACAGGCAAGTATGCCTTCTGATTATCATTTATGTGTGTTTTTTTTTTTTTATTCTTGATTTGTCATAACTGTTGTGACCTGTCTGTCGTAACATAAAATTTCAATAAAAATTCGTAAAAACTTCGTTATAGCTTTACGTATGTGTGAGATTGTAATGCAATACGGACATTATAATATTTATATTTATATATATATATATACGGGCATCTACAGGTAAGGTGCTTAAAAAAAGTCAAATAATTTCTTATCTTTAAAAAAATGAAGTCTCTAAAAGACAAAGTTATTTTCCTTGTTATTAGTAAGTAGGCTTCATTAGGCCTAAAAAGTTATTTTCCTTTTAGCTTTTTTTTTAAATTTAATTAAATTATTATCCACATTCAGGTTTAGAGACCCGTATTGCACATAGACAAGTAATTAAAAGTTTAGCAAATGGAACAATTACGCTATGATATTATATATGCAATGAATACTCGTATATGCTTACTTATATATGTAATTCATATACGAAAGGCATATATATATATATATATATATATATATATAGGTATATAATCCAGTATTTAAGAGAAAAAACTAAACGAATAAAGAAAAACCTGTCTGTACTCAGGCAAGTAGATTGTTTTTCGGCTTAACTGGATTGCCTTCGATTTAACGCTGGTTGGCGAAGTGTGTGTATAGTATGTGCGAGAATGCGTCTACGTTTGAATTATTTTTTGTTTGTTTGTTTTTTTTTTTTTTTTTTTTTTTTTTTTTTTTTGTAAAAAACTATAAACCGCGTTTCACATTTTATTTTTCGAGATATACTTTTTACTTCAAAGTTTTTAGTGATGAATAAACCAAAAAATAAAAATAAAAAAAATAAATAAAAGTAAAAAACTCCCCCTCCTGCAAAACTATAAACAAAAAATTTATAAATAATTTCAAAAAATTATAACCTATTTCTCATGTTTCTCTGATGGATGCGTTCATGCATCCATCTATTCATCGATTCAGTTGATTCATGAAATAAATAGAAAAAAGTAAAAGTAAAAAATCGTCAGTCACTTTACAGTTACTTTTGGTCAAAGGACAATTTTCGAAAATATTGCATCATAATCGACCTGTCATTGGTCGATGTGGATATGTGGCATGATCGATTGCCATCGTTACAAGATAGATGGTTAGAAACACTTTACAACTAGAGAGGATTTCATTAAGTGCAATTGTTTCGCGCGGTTGTGTTGCCCAGACCAGACCGCTTATTGACAATAATCCAGTGGGCTCAGAATTCTGCCAAGTCATTATAAATTCTCGTCTCGTAATTGCTAACTTCGGATAAGCAGTAGCGGTCCAACATTCGTCGTAACATTCTTTTGTCTGCACTTGCAGCCACGTTTATTATGCCCTCCGGATGGGTTTTTTCGCCAAGTACTCAATCGCTTCGCTTCGCGGGTAGTGTTTACCGAGTTTCGGTTTTAGTCGTAAATTTCAGTAAATTTACGTTGCATTCACTAAGTGCCTAACAAAATTTCCGTGTTTCATATATGTGTGGTACTAATGGCACGTGTTGTGGACATACGTTACATGTCCGCAGTTGCATTCTTTTAGTTTTTTTCAAATAATTTTGAGAATCTGTTAACGATAATCAGTAATGTAAGACGCAACGCAAAGAGAATTTTTCCTCATAATGACGAGGTTAAGTTTTTTGCGAAAAAAAAAAAATACATGCAATACGAGACAATCGATCCCGTATTTACGACGTAAAGCGGAGACTATTTAACAAAAGGCGAATAGGCGAAATTATTTGTTGTTTTTCTCTTAAAATTTTCAAAAAAAATCCGGAAAATTTATCGCAGCTACAATATTCTATTCATTCGTTGGACGTTTGTACCGCATTAAACTGGAAACATCATCAAATATTTGGAACGA